ATCCCCCGATTGGGTTGGAGAAAATACTAGGGGATTTCTTCGCCAGACTTTCCTGGACCCCTGACAAGTAAGAGTTAACTGGGCTGAAATACAGTTGCCCTACTAGCGCATGACGAGGAAACTGCAAGTAAGCTACCTGCTTCAACAGTACTGCCGATCTGGCCAAAGGAAACAAGACGTGTGAAGGTAAAAGAACGCTGGGTAGCTGACGAATGTCCTACCCAAACGCAGAGCTGACCAACACAAAGATGGATTCTACCAAAAACCTGTAGCCAAAGAACTTTCGCTCACTAAGCCATTACTCAAGTTGCCATATTATGATTATGCCCATGATGCAATCCAACTTCTGCCGCTGAAATGAAAGAACTGGATACTACCAACAACATTGAGCTCCAATTACTTTGAAGAAGTGGAGTCTGAGCTGGATCTGCTCCTCCGAGGAACAGGCGCACTGCCTGAAGCTGTGTTTTGATTCTTAACCCGATTGAGCTCTTCCTGGAGTGTCTCCAGCTTCTGCTGGAGGTGCTTGATCTTGATATCCTGGAGACCACACTTGAGCTCCAGAAGTCTTGAATTGGACGGGGCTGATTCACTGGAAGGGGCGGCATCGCTGTGCACAACCTTTGCACGCTTACTAGCGTGCTCTGGAGAAGTCGAACGAAGACGGTCGACATGATTCATATTGGCAGAAGGTGAATATGACTCGCTACCGCTGTCCAAAACATCTGGAAGTTTGGGAAGTTTGTCTTCCTTCTTGGAGAACTGAACCTTTACCTTAGGCTCAACGTTGAATTTCTCGCATACTGCCAAATAAAAGAAACTGTTCTTGCCCTTTGTACTTGTCCAAGAAATAGTCCAACTGATCCAGCATCTGAGGTTCTTACTGCTGGAAAACATCCGAGATCAATAGCTTGAACTGCAGCCTGACTTTGAAATCCTGGCCCTGCTCTCTGTCGGCTTCTACCTGACCAGCGACCTTATCTTTGGGATTAGACTTCACTGCCACAAGAGGCGGCGGTGGTGGCTGCGCCTTCTCACTGTCGGATTCTACCTGAACAGTGGGCTTTTGTTTGGACTGAATATTCTCCCTGCCAACTGCTACCTCAGCATTGGGCCTTTCTGTACGCCCAGACTTCGCTGCTGACGGTGGTGGCGGAGGTGGCGGAAGTGGCTGGGAACTCTTCCCATGCCAGGGGAGACCGCACTTACATAACGGCTGCGAAGTAATTCTATTAGGTCAGATCCAACAGTCTGGTCTGCCACGCGGGCAAAGCAACTTAGAATGAGAAACAACTGGAGATCCTACTCCTTCTTTGCGAACCCAGGGCGTCCTGGAAGACATTGCGGCAACTGCGGCGTGTATGTGTAGGCGAAAAAGAGGGGGCAGGGCTGCTCCTGCCCAGCTGGCTTGAGCGGTGGCAACTTGAGCCAACATGGCTTGAGCCAAAATGGCTTGAGCCAAAATGGCTACGGAGGAGGAGGAGGAGGAGGAGGAGGAGGGAGGGAGGAGGAGGAGGAGGAGGAGGGGGAGGGGGAGGGGGGAGGGGAGGGGGAGGGGGAGGGGGAGGGGGAAGGTGGAGGCGGAGGGGGAGGAGGAGGAGGAGGGAGGAGGAGGAGGAGGAGGAGGAGGAGGAGGAGGAGGAGAGGAGGAGGAGGAGGAGAGGATGCCAGCTGGGCTAGTGGGGGTCAGTGCAAACGGGGGTCAGCCAGAGCGCCAGATCTTGCAGGATCCTGCAGAGCCAGGGGTGCACTGACCTGGCTTTGCGTGCAGGATCTGGCAGGATCCTGCAGGATCGTGCGGAATCCTGGCAAGCCTGACTGACCCTGGTATGCATTGACCCAGATCAGCAGGATCCCCGAGTCAGTCCTGTCCTCGCTGCTGGCCTCTTCCGGAGCGGCAGGTTTCGCGCCCCCCCTCGGCTGCTGTGGACGCCCAGCCGGGCGGCGCCGCCGATCCCGACGCGGCGGTGCGGCGCGGCCGAGGGGAGGGGCGGAGTGCCTGCCTACCGACCCCTCCGCATCGCCTCAGGATGGGGCCGCAGAGCTCTCGGATGAGGGTGGAACCATCGGTGCGTGGCACCGCCAGGCAGGCGACCCCGCCGCTGTTGTGACCTCCTGTTGGGTGGACCGGGGGTCCCAAAAGCAGAGGGGTGTGATTTCGACAGATGGCAAGGTGGCCCTGCGCGGTCGAAGAGCGCGTCACCGAGCGAGCCAGACGGCTTTCAGGGCGCGGTGTGGCGGGTGAGACGTGGGAGGAGGTGAGGCTAACATGCATGAGACACCCCCCACTTCCTTCTCCTCCTCCTCTTCTCCCTCAGGCCTAAGGACTGGAAGCATCGGTGTCGATGTTACGACGCTAACTGCCCCCCTCCCAGCGGCCTTCGCCACTGGGATGGGGGGACGGGGCATCGGAAGAAAAGCCAGGCAGCTGTAAACAGCGAGCTGTAGCAGGAGATGCGCCAGACACCCTCCAGGGGGGGAGGGGCGCGCTGGGCCTCCTCCTCCTCCTCTGGATTTGGGCCCCCTTCTGTCGGAGGCGACGATAGGGGCGAAGAGCCAATGGGGGAGCACTACCTCCTCCCTTTTCCCTTCCCCTCCTCCTCCCTCCTCCTCCTCCTCCTCCTCATCCTCCTCCTCCTCCCCCTCCTCCGGATTTGAGCCCCGTCGCCTCCGCCCGGCATCAGGTCGCAGACCTGGCGCGCCTCTCGCTCTCAAAGCCCGTCTTCGTGGAGGCGCGCGGGAGACGGGTAGTAGGACGGGGAGAAGGAGGAGGAGGGAAAGGATGAGGAGGGGAGGATGATACGGGAAGACGATCTGGAGGAGAAGCAGGAGGAGGGGGGAGGGAGGCAGGGAAGGGGGATGACGATGAGGATGGGAGGAGGGAATGCCGAAGCGGGTAATGATGAGAATTAGGGTGGTTCTGAATTGTGATGATGCTGAGGATGATGAATGTGATGATGTTGATGATGTTGCTGCTGCTGATGATGACGATGATGATGACTATGATGATTCTTAGTTTGACTATGGCTATGGCGATTTTGATACAGATGCTGGCGATTGTGATGATGCTGCCGATGATGACGATGAGGTGGAGGATGAGAAGGATACTGATGATAATGATGATGGTAAGGATGAGGATGATTGTGATGATGATGATGCTGATGATGATGATGATGATGATGAGGGTAATGAGGATGAAAAGGATATGATGTGAGGGGAAGGATGGTGATGAGAATGAGGAGGAAGATAATGAAGATGTGGAGGAGGCGGACGAGGCGGAGGAGGCGCCAGACGAAGATGATGGTGATGATGCTGATGATGATGATGCTGATGCTGCTGACGATGGTGATGATGATGATGCTGCCGATGCTGATGATGACGATGATGACGATGATGATGTTTATGATGGTGATGGAGATGATGCTGATGCTGATGATTATTGTGATGTTGATGATGATGATGATGATGATGCTGCTCCTGATGGTGATGGTAATAGTGCTGATGATGATGGTGACGGTGATGATAATGATGATAATGATAGTGATACCGATGATGATGTTGATGCTGATGCTGATGCTGATGATGATGATGATGACGATGTTTATGATGACGCTGCTGATGATGACGATGATGATGATGATGATGATGATGATGATGATGATGCTGATGCTGCTGATGATGATGGTGGTGATGATTATGATGATGATGATGATGATGATGATGATGATGATGATGATGATGATGATGATGATGATGATGATGATGACGATGATGATGATGATGATGATGATGATGATGATGATGATGATGATGGTACTGATTCTGATGATGATGCTGCTGATGATGATGGTGATGATATCATGCGGATAAGGAGGATGAGGATGAGGAGGAGGAGGAGAAAGAGGTAGAGGAGAAACAAAGAGGAGTATCGAAGACGCCTACGGTGAATCACCACCGCTCCCTGCCTTTCGAAACGCCTATGTGGCCGAACGTTGCGGCCATAGCTGGCTAAGCCATCGGACTACGTGTTTCCCAAGCCGTTGTGGAAATAAACCACTCCAGGAACCCGTGGGGGCGAACGCAGAAGAGGAGGAGAGGGAGGAAAAAGGAGGAGGAGGAGGAGGACCAGGATGAGGAGGAGGATGAGGAGGAGGAGGAGGAGGAGGAGCAGGAGGAGGACCAGTGTAAACCCAAGAGTCATTAACGATGTTGGAGTGAACCCTCCCTCAAAGCTTCCTCTTCATAGGCCTCTACAACAGTTCATTTCCATTGAGCGAACTGCCTCGTTGGAAGATAACCGTTTGAAGACCCCGAAGCATGCCAAAACATTGTTCTCGGGATTTCAACGCCACGCATCAACTTGATTGTTGCGTCTTCACAGTCCGGAATCGTGTTAGAACGTCATTTGTGGGACTTCAACACAGCGAACCAATATAGCTGTTGTACCCGCGTAATCCTGAAGCCTTCCAAAACGCCAGATCTGGTACGTTGACCATGGGAATCCGGGAAACCCTTCTAAACTTGTAAAACGAATGTGCGCGGCGCTGAGGCGAGAACCACATTTTGAAGAGGAACCGCCCTCAATCCGTGAAACTTTTGCATTTTTTGCAACGAATGTGCGCGGCGCTGAGACGAGAGCCACGTTTTGAAAACGACCCGCCCTCAATCCGTGAATCTCTACAAATTTTTAAAAGCGAATGGGCGCGGCGCTGAGGCGAGAGCCACATTTTGAAAACGACCCGCCTCAATCCGTAAAACTCTCGCACATGTTTAAACTAATATGCGCGGCGCTGAGGCGATGCTACGTTTTGAAAACTACCTGCCCTCAATCTGGGAAGCTCCTGCAATTTTGTCAAAAAGAATGTGCGCGGCGCTGAGGCGAGAGCCACATGTTGAAAACCACCCGCCCTCGATCCGTGACTCTCTACAAATGTTTAAGAGCGAATGTGCGCGGCGCTGAGGCGAGAGCCACATTTTGAAAAGACCCGCCCTCAATCCGTGAAGTTCCCGCACATTTTTAGAACGGCGCCAGGCGAGAGCTACATATGAAAACCACCCGCCCTCCATCTGTGAAACTGTTGTTATTTTTGAAGCTTCAGAGTCATCAGTGATGAGGAAGTCTCAAGCGAAACGCCCGGCCCGCCCTAAAAACTGGCCTCGGGGTGCGACAGGGAGCAGTTATTTCTAAGGAGCAGGAGTAGAGGAGGAGAAGGCCTCTTGGGAGACTCTTGGGGCCTCCTGGAATCTTCGTGGGGGCCTCTTGGAGGCCTCCTGGGGGCTTCCTTGGCCTCTTGGGGGCCTTTCCTTGCGAGGCTCTTTGGCCGTCTGAGGGCGTTCCTGGCCCGTCTGACGCCGTCGGAGTTGTTCCCTCCCTTCTTTGAAGGCCAAAGCAGCAGGTTCCAAGAACTTTGCTTGACATCTTCTGGCAACTTTGGTGTGTACGAAGGAGTCCCAGAGGAAACAGGGATGTCGTTCGTGACAGCGTCGGCCTGCCCCGTGTGGTTGGTTGTGGCAGGTCCTGAAGAGGATGGCCAAACACACGCCGAAACGCTGGAGGCGAACTGGACCCGGGGTGCCCGAATAGTTGGGCATACTCAGTCCTAGACCAGATATGAGCACTTGTGTTGACATGCGGTTGTTTAAAAAATCCTTCTCTTCAGAGTTGACATGATGTTGCACTTGTTGTGATATGACAGGCAAGTTACTGGCTATCAGCCGAAAGTCTCTCCAAGAGCTCGTCTTCGGCGGTGCAGCATTTTTCCCATCAGCCAGAGTAGTAGCAGTGGTCGCTTTACCAAAGAGGGGGCTTCGCACGTGCGCTCTGATTGTGGTGCCCGAGAACCGGGATACGAAGTCGGCTCCGCCGTCCTGTGCTCCAGTCAGTGCTCTGGTTTCGGGGGCGGGGGGTCGGACATTCAAGGAAAAAGGGGGCACCTGCGGCCAGTCCGCCAGGTGCCGACGGTGTCACGAAAGAGGGGGCAGTTGTTCCCTCCCTTCTTTGAAGGCCAAAGCAGCAGGTTCCAATAACTTTGCTTGACATCTTCTGGCAACTTTGGTGTGTACGAAGGAGTCCCAGAGGAAACAGGGATGTCGTTCGTGACAGCGTCGGCCTGCCCCGTGTGGTTGGTTGTGGCAGGTCCTGAAGAGGATGGCCAACCACACGCCGAAACGCTGGAGGCGAACTGGACCCGGGGTGCCCGAATAGTTGGGCATACTCAGTCCTAGACCAGATGTGAGCACTTGTGTTGACATGCAGTTGCTTTAAGAATCCTTCTATTCAGAGTTGACATGATGTTGCACTTGTTGTGATATGACAGGCAAATTACTGTCGGACGCCGTCTCGGGGGCCTCCCTGGGCCGACTTGGAGGCCATTTTGGACATCTGGCATCTTGGAGGTTTCCTGGGTCGTCATGGGGCCCTCTTGGGACCGTCTTGAGAGCCTCTTGGGCCGTCTGGGGGCAATCTCTGAGGCCTCTTGAAAGATCTTGTGACGATATTGGGGGCCCCTTGGGCTGTCTTGGGCCGTCGGAGAGCAAAGAAGATGCTAATGCCAACGCGCACAAACACACAAACACACGCACGCACGCACGCACGCACACGCACACACGCACATGCACACACGCACGCACGCACGCACGCACACGCACGCACGCACACGCACACGCGCACGCGCACGCACACGCACACGCACAAGCACACGCACACGCACGCGCACACACACGCACACGCACACACGCACACACGCACACACGCACACACGCACACACGCACACACGCACACACGCACACACGCACACACGCACACACGCATACACGCACACACGCACACGCACACACGCACACTCGCACACACGCACACCCACACACGCACACACCACACACAAACACAGACACAAACACAAACACAGCCACAACCACAACCAGAACCATACACAAACACGCACAAACACAAACACAACCACAATCACATACACAAACACAAGTACAACCACACTAATACACACAAACACAATCACACGCACAAAGTCAAGCACAAACACAAACACACACGCAAACGCAAACGCAAGCGCAAACGCAGACACAACCACAAACGCGAGCACACACAAACACAAACACACACACAAACACATTTTTTTGATCTGCGGGGCGAGAGCGAACCCCTTCCAAACACACGCAAACACACAAACACAAACACAAACACAAACACAAACACAAACACAAACGCACACAACACACAGCACACACACGCACACAACACACAACACACAACACACACACACCACACGATACACAACACACAACACACACCACACCACACAACACACAACACACACACCACACAAACACACACAGCACAGAAGACAAACCACACACAATACACCACACACAACACACAACACACAACATAAACCACACACAACACACAACGCACAACAAACAACACACAACACACAACACACAACACACATCACACAACACACACACACACACCACACAACACACACACACACACACCACACAACACACAACACACAACACACAGCACACACACAACACACAACACACAACACACGCACACACAGACACACAGACACAAAGTCACAGAGCCAAACAGACACAAAAAGACATACAGACACGCACACACAGACACACAGACACACACACACACACGCGCACGCTCGCACGCACGCACGCACACACACTCACATACACACGCACACCAAAATAAACACATCGAGCGGAAACTGAATGATTGAGACCAGCTTAGGCCGTTTTGGGCTTCTTGTGCGGACTTGGAGGCATGCTGTGGCCAATTTTGGGGGCCTTCCTGAGGCCATTTTACTACCAGTCTTGGAGGCCGTCTTGGCCGTCTTGGAGGCCTCATTTGGGCCATCTCGGCAGTCGTGGAGCGATTCAGGCAGCGGCGCTTTTCTGCCCCGGGCTGTCCGTGTGGCCAGCGGATTGGACCGAGACCTCACTAGGATTGTTTCAAGAAAAGAACCAGGAAGCTGCGAAGCGTTCGGCACGCCGTGCATCCCCTGTGGCAAGACCACCTGGGGGCGGCGGGTCTGGTGGCTGTCGGCCCAACGCGCCACCGTGCCCGGGTTAGAGCAGAGGCCTCTGAGATGCCTCCTGGGGTCTATCGGAAGGCCTCTTGCGGGCATCTTGGAGGCCTTTCTGGGATCCCATTGCGGCCTCTGATTGGGGGTCTCCTCCTCGGGTCTTTTGGGGGGGGGCTCTTGGAAGCTTCTTGGGGGCCTCTTGGGGACCTCCTGGTGGTCTTGGAGGCCATCTTGGGGCTCAGGGCTCCACATGTCAGCTCGTGCTCCCTCTCTCGGGAGCGTCTCGGGAGCCCCTCGGGGGCCTCTTGGGAACCCTTAAGGGGGGCTCGGAGGCTGTATTGAGCCGATCTTGGGGAGCTCTTCTGGGTCGTCTTCCACGCTCCCGCGACCGAAAATGCGATACTGATGATGAAAAGCCGCAGACGACTTTGGGCCTCTCTGGCTGGCTGGCCCTCGGGATATGTATTAAAGGCATGTAGATTTCGTCAAGCCCTCGCCCGGTTTATGTCTCAGGATGATTACGAAACCTACAAGGGATGGCCCTCGTGGGATGATGATAACGAAACCTACGAAGGATGTTGAGGGTCCTGACGACTCTGGGCCTCTCTGGCCGGCCGGCCCTCGGGTTTACGCTCCAAGGAGGCCCACAGCGGGGGCTCCAGGGCGGGAGTCCAGACCATCTCGATGGCAGGGCGCGCGCTCGACGTGTCGGATCCCGACGCCGCTCCCCATGGAGTCTGCGACGAGGGCGTGGATTCTTCGCCGATCTGCGGAGAGTTCGAGAAGTATGCTCCGTAGATGCGACCAGAAAATCCAGCTTGGGGTATATCGGTTCTGTAGTCGATCCTCCACGGTCCTGTTTTCCACCACCACCACCACCACCACCATAAGTCGGAGGGTGGAAGGAGTTGGAGGAGGAGGAGGAGGAGGAGGAGGAGGAGGAGGAGGAGGAGGAGGAGGACGAGGAGGAGGAGGAAAGGGAGGAGGAGGAGGAGGAGGAGGACCTGCTCCTGGTGGTGGCGGTGGAAAGCAGACGCCCACCGCGTCCGAAGGAGTCGCGACCATCGTGGGCAGGGCACGCCTGCCGCGTCGGCTCCCGACCGCGCTCCCGCGGCCTGCCGGCCGCGTCGGCAGCGCCCGCGCGCCCCCCCGAGATTTCTTCCTCCCCCTGAGGGGGGGGAGGAGGAGGAGGGAGGAGGAGGAGGAGGAGGAGGAGGAGGAGGAGGAGGAGGGAGGAAAGGAGGGAGGGAGGAGGAGGAGGAGGGGGAGGAGGGAGGAAAGGAGGAGGGAGGAGGAGGGGAGGAGGAGGAGGGAGGAGGAGGGAGGGAGGAGGAGGAGGGGGGGGAGGAGGAGGAGGAGGAGGATTCGAGACAGAGCGCGAAGGGGCGCGAGGACCCGCGGACGGAAGATGACTTGTCGTAGGGGCACTCCGTCCCTGCCCCTCCTTGCCGCGCCCGCGCAGCGGCGGCGCAGGAGCACAGACGTTGGGTCGGGCACACTTCTCTCTCCCTCTCTCTCTCTCTCTCTCCCCCCCCTCTCTCTCTCTATTTCTCTCTCAGGGCATCCTTGAGCGCGTGCAGCTTTTCAGCTCCTGGTCAGGAGCTTTTAAGCCAGCCTGTTCGGATGTCTCTGTCGGCAGTGTGCTCGTGTGTGTGTGTGTGAATGTGTGTGTGTGTGTGTTGTCGCAGGGGCAGGAATTGAGGGCTCTACATCTGCCTGTTGTAGTTCGAAGTATCTGCACATGGCTGGGCGCCGACTGCTGCGGACAGTGCCTCCGCGCGCGATGGCGCGGCGTTCTCTGCTGCCAGCGATTTCTCGATCGTTCGGCGAACGGACCGCGGCGCCCACAGACCGCGGCACATGGGTCAGCCATGCACGTTGGTAATCGGAGGAAGGAGGATCACCACCACTACAACCACCAGCTGCAGGGGTGGCTGAGAAGGCTCAGGGGCTGGTGGTGCGTACCTTTCGGGCGCTTCTGTGGATCACCCATGCACACCTGCATCTCACAAGTCGGCACGCCCTGCCCCCCTCAAGCGGTGGTTGTGGTGAACTTCCCTCTGTCTTCAAGGCAGAGGGCCAGGTGTTCAAGTGCAGCTGGTCGCTGGCTTTCACAGCCTGCCTTGAGATCTCCTTCGCCGACGGTGGAGCCAGCACGCCTGCCCGGGCACGAGGCAGCAAGAGCGCAGGAGGAGGGTGACAGAGGCGGGGACGGTCGTTGGCAAGGTGCAGTCAGATTGTTCTTGAGTTTACTGCGTGCGCGAACTGGCGATGCGCGTTAGTGCATGCGATAACCGTGCGGGTAGACGCCAAACTCCCAACCGTCGTCATCGTCATCGTCGCCATCCTCCCTCTCGTTCTTGTCCACGTCCTCCTCTCGTCCTTGTCACGTTTCTCCTCTTCGATTCCCGCCTCCTCCCCCTCCTGTTTCCCCGTCCCCTGTCCCCTCTCATCCCTCCCCCACCTACTGTTGCACAGGTGCACGCGTAAGTCCCAAGTCCACTCAGATGGCAGAAAGAGACAAAAAGGAAACGACAAAGGCTAAGACGGTACCTTCTCAGAAGGCAGACGGCCGAGAGGAGGGATACAAGAGGGAAAGAGAAATAGGCACTGTCGAGGCCTGAGAGCTACCCTCCCGAAGCCTCCAAAAGCCTCCACAGTGGGCAGATTCATCGCAGTAGGAGGGGGGAGGTGGGCCCCCACCTACTGTTACTCTTCCTCTTGTTCTTCCTCCTCCTGCTCCTTGTCCGGCGAGGTGAAGTCTGACGACTCCGTAGCCACGGTGTCTGGACTGACACAGGCGCCTGGGGGACTGGGGATGACGACGATGACGATGCTGATGACGACGATGAATGATGCTGATGATGATGCTGATGATGATGATTATGATGATGATGACGATGCTGCTGCTGCTGATGATGATAATGATGATGATAATGGTGACGATGATGATGCTGCTGCTGATGATGATGCTGACGATGGCGATGACGCTGCTGCTGATTTTGACGATGACGATGTTGCACATGCTGATTCTGATGACGATGATGACGATTCTGATGACGATGCTTGTGATGATGATGCTGATGCTGATGATGATGCTGAGAATGATGATGCTGATGATGCTGATGATGATGATTCTGGTGGTGGGACTGATGGATGCTGCTGATGTTGGTGGTGGTTATGGCGATGACGACGACGATGATGCTGATGATGATGATTCTGATGGTGATCATGATTGTAATGATGATGATGATGATGATGATGATGATGATGATGATGATGATGATGCTGATGCTGCTGCTGATGATGATGATGAATGTGGTGGTGCTTGTGGTGGTTGTGGTTGTGATGATGACGATG